TGCGATGCTGGGGCGGGTGGAGTATCCCACAGGAGTGCAGGCGAGGGCCTGCCGCGTGCTTGGTGGAGAACCTGGAAGTGGACCGGAAGTACTTCCGGTACTTCCGGTCCACTTCCGGGTCCACTGGAGAGTGCAGCAGGCTCTTCCCCCCACAGCCCCCCGGTTCAGCGATGGGCTGCAGGGGGACCCCAGGTGCTCCCCCAGGGAAGTGCTTCTAGTCCACTTCCAGGTCTGCTGCTGAACATGCTGGGGAGCCCCCCACGCTTCTGTGGGACACTCCATGTGCCCCAGCATTGCAGCATTCACAAGCTGCCTGCTATCTTGAGGTATGTAGAAAAAACATTTAAAGCTGTGTCTATGTCCGAATCACTGAATCTCTCCGAATCAATTTGAAGGATTCCAGTTCAATTTGGAGGGATTAAAGGGTCCTCTGATTCCATTTGGATTCGGAAATTTGGCTACCAAGTCAGGCCAAATCTCCACCGAATCGAATCAGGGACTGAAGCTTCGCACAGCCCTACTCTTGGGGCCCCTTGCTGCTTGGTCGAGTGCCCTTAAAGGACCAGTTCTCTGGTCAGGGTTCAAAAACCCGTCACTACCAGGAGGAGTGTGCATACTTTCTTCCACACCTCTCTGGTTAATGGGCAGTCCCAGAAGAGGTAGTCGATTCTTTCTGCCTGCCAGTGGCAGGTCTGCCTTGAGCAGTTTGATGTATCCTCTCTGCCCTGTGCTGTCTTCCATGCCCATGTGGGGAGTGCCTGGTGGGCTGCCTACCAGTTCACGTCTCTGTGCTCCTTCTGCAGGTCTTTGTGGAAGCTTCACTCTCAGAAAGTGTGGAGCTGTCACCAGGTAGTAAGCTCATGGGCGATACGATGTTTCTTGCCCTTACCACCTCCCGTATCTTGTGGTGGTTTGCCAGTGTCACTAGTGTCACATCCTGCAGCTTGTTTTTCTCCTGGAAGCATTTTAGGACCTTGTAGAACCACAGGGACACTGTGGCCTGTGGGCTTCCATTGGTTGTCATATACACCTGCCGCTGTCTCAGCAGTCACCCTGCAAAACACTTGACAAAGCGGGCTGTTTTGGATTCCATCCCTGTTGCCAGTTTGCAAACCTGGCACATGTACTTGGCCTAGAGGAAGAGTAGGATGTCTGGCATTCCTCTGCCTCTAGACTGTTTCGCTTTGTACAGCTTGGTCTTCACCACTTTCTTCATGTGGAATTCCAAAAGAAAGCACACATGGCTCTTTGGATTCTGCAAATGACTTGCTCTGAGGAAGGGAAAACTAGGGCATTGTGTAAAAGTATTGGCAGTAGCTCTGCCTTGATCAGTGCCATGCACCACCCTCCCCCCCACTCCCACATTGACAGGCAGCACGATTGCAATAGCCCCAGTCTCTGTTTCACGTTCGCTTCCATCTTTTCCCACGCCCTCTGTCTCATCAACTCTACCCTGAGGATATTTACCCCCTGTCAGGGGATGGAGACCCCAAGGGACAACAGGTCCCCGAGCTTACCTGGACTAGACAGGTGCTTTTGCTCATGTTGAACTTGGCCCCTGCTGCTGCTCCATATACCTGGGTGTGTTTGAACGCTCTTTCCATTGAACTCTTGTCCCTGCATATGATGTTAAGGCTCTCTATGTAAGCGAGGACTTTAGTCTTTTCCTCATTGTTCCCGGGGATCTTCACGCTGCTGATCCCAGGGTCCTGCCTTAGTCACTGTGCTGGTGGCTGCCTTGTTCAAATAAACAGGTTCAGGGAGAGCAGACAGCCCTGCCTGACTCCCAACTCCACCACAGTCAGGTCTGTCAGGGACCTGTTCACCAGTACCCTGCTGCTCACTTTACAGTGCCTTTATCCAAGTGACAAAGGTTGTGGGGACTCCCACATTTTTCAGTGTTTCCAGCAGGAAGCGATAGGATACCCGGTCATAGGCCTTCTCCAAGTTGAGGTTCAGCATGGCGATGTTTTCTCCCCTCTACTATTGGTTCTGTAGCGCATCTTGCAGCTGTATCAGAGCTTCGTGGATCTGTTGCAAGCCTAGTCCTTGTGGACCACTGTACCTATAACAGACTTAAAATACTTGGCCAAGATTTTGGCCATTAGTTTGTAGTCAAGGTTCAGTAGCATAATCGGACGCCAGTTTCTCAGATCCCGTCTCTCCCCCTTCTTGTAAAGAAGGGTTATGTGGTTCTCTTCCACGTAGCACAAACTATGCGTGATATGAGCCTTTTGCTTTTAGATTAATGATTTACCACATAGTTCATGGGGCTGAATCCCACCAGAGTCCACAGCATTTTAAGTCACGGTGAGCCCACAGCTCAGCGCTGCTCAGCATGTTTGTGTACTCCAGATTTCCCTGCCCCCCAAAGATCTACGTGCTAGTTAGCCCCCACTCATGAGTGGAACTGGGTGTCCTTGTTGCAAGCTCTGGGATGCTCCAAAAATTTATATGCAGATGAGGTGTGGGGCAGCCTGGTCCAGCTTCACCTCATGCTGGGTGGGGCCACACTTATCATACATGCCAGGCTGAGAGCAGGAACAGAGAGATTGTGGGTGAACTGTATGACTTGAAAAAGAGTCGGCAGTGAGGGGGACTGTGCTTAATGGGCACTACCATATTCAGATGGGTTATATTAAGTTATGCTTGTGGTAGGTTTCCATTAGCATGTTTGCTTACCTGGGCTGTGCTTAAATCAACTTCATAGTTGGTTTTGACTACTGAGCACATGCTGTTTTTGGCAGTAGTTTAACAATAGACAGTGTATTTAGTGAGGTTTCCTAGTATGTGATTATAAGACAAGGAGCTTTTTTCCCCATGCCAATCAAGGGTAAAAACTTCATCTTGTATTTGAGTAAATACAGTAGCTGTTCCCTTGTGGTTTTGCTATGCCAGTTTGAGCATACACCTGCTGTAAACTAAAAATGATTATGTATTTTTTATTTTGGTTTTATGGAATTTCTTGCTGTTGACCACAGGTGCATTTTAATGAACAATAAACTAATTTTCTGTCTTTAAATGGTCTCCCCATACATTTGCATAGCATTCATGCAGTGGAGTCTAGGTTCTAATTAAATAGTAAGCCATTTTTCTGAAAATCAGCTACTCTTTGTAGCCTGGACCCCAGATAGACTAATTTATAGGACCAATATACAGTTTAACTCTGTGGCACAGGTATTCACCGTGCTTGAGTTTGACAATATTATGAGAAAAATATTCCTTCAGATACCCAAGACCCTTGTGTAAAAAATAATTCTTACCTGCACTATATGCAGCTAACTTATCTTTAAGTTTACTCAATTAGTAAAATGCCAGCCACCCACTCCTGCAAACAGTATTTTCTAATGTGAGTGTCCTTGAATACTGAAGTGTTGTGGAATCTTATATTGCCATATTTGAGTCACGGCTTGGATGTTTGACAACTCATACCACAAATTCTTTCTTTAGTAATTAAATAAACCTTTCATTCTAAACTATAGTGATACCATGCTTTTTATTCTTGACCTGACTGAGTTTCTCTCTTGGCTGTGTTTATGCCTTTACATGAAAGCAGCTCCATTTCCATCAGAATGGATTGGTGCACAAATCACTTAATTTCATAACACAAGGCTAAGACTAATTTTTCATGTATTGCTTATATTGTAACAAACTGATTAAGTGTATAAACTTTTTAAGTGCATAGGAACTCTTGAGCCACAACTGCCTACTTTATTAAATGATTTTACTCTGCCTAACTGCATAATTGCTGAGAATGACTAAGAGTCCTTGCTTTCATGACTTCTAAAGCAGCTTTGAGTTGCCTACGTCCTGTTCTTAGACCTGTGGCTCTCTACCATTAGACTCAAGGCACCCGTCCAAAATTTTTCAGAGTTTGGTGGCACTGCGGTTGAAAACTACTGGTGTACTGCCCTAGTTTACCTTAGTGGTTCTCAACCAGGGTGATCCTACTGGCTTTGCTGCCACAGCCAGGTAAAACTGCCCTGCACGCTCTGGGAAGAGAGTGGGGGATAGGACTGGGAAGGGCTGCAGCAGGAGCTGGCGCTTCGGCTTGCCAGCATTATGTTTATCAGATAACCCTAATACAGGCAGGAGTACCTGCCTTAGCTCTTCCCAGTCAGGCTCTGTATGAGACATGCAGGGCAGTTCCACCCGCCTGTGCCAGCAGCACCCATGTCATGATGAACGATGACACACCTGAAAGGGTCTTGTAACACCCTGTTTGAGGAACCACTGTATTAGAGACATGAAGCACTCAGAGGAACTAGATAAAGAGCTGTAATGAGGGGTGAAAAACTACTGTTCCTGTATTTAATGAGCATTTCTCACAGAGAGTTGGGTCTGTTTTCAGTCTCCTTGTTATGCATTTATGTTATGCTCTGCCTCTGGGAGCTGTGGCAATTAACACCACCATTCTTCCACCACTACCTTTCCTGGCTTATGGAGAATCAGCAGGTGGGATGATGTGACCTTGCATGCCAGATCATGCCAGCTTACAGGGTCTGTCACTCCATGTCCAGATCCAGCATGCAGGGTTGGTTGCCCTGTGGCTGAATCTGGCACATGCTGATGCCGTACCACTCTTTCTTCTCAGGGGGCCAGAAAAGTTGAGCACCACCAGTACACAATGTATTCTTTTTGTTTACATACACCTGTGACTTGCTATGTAAGTTTCAACTCTTTTTGATTGTTGTGATTACAGTGTGTCATTTTTACTGTGTGTGGAATTGTGTGTCATGCTGCTTTTCTTGTTACCTGTAAATATGAACTACCAAATATCATTACCAGTATCTGCTAAGAAAGACCATACTAGAATAATGGGTGTCACAAGAAAAAAGCAATCTGCATTGGCAGGCAAGGGGAAACTCTCCTAGTGCTTAACTAGGCTGCTGTTTGTGCACTTCAGGAAACTGAAAAACTATACTTTCTGTGTTAAAAGTCAGAAGCTGATTGTTTAAAAATATATATATTTTAGGAATACTTCCTTTTTTTTTTTCTAGGCAAAATTCACACATGTCCAAGCAACAAATAAACCAAAGACCCTCAAGCATGGTCAGCGAAACATCCACTGCAGTAACTGCATCCACTGTTGATACAAAACCTGTTCCTAAGGTAAGGCAAAAAAAGACTCATTTGGTCTCCTTTCAGTTCAGTTTATTGCTGCCTTAAAACACATTTAAGATTTCATGCTAAAAACATATTAATGTACTTCCAAGGAAGAGAGACTTCTCCCATCCAAACAAACTTAGGAGATATAGTGACAACACAAACATCTTTTGACAGCTCAGAAACCCTCTAATCACATTTCAGGTGATTTTTGTTTTAAATGACAAGTCTATGAATTACCAATTCAGTGTGTGAGAGGTTTCTAAGGAATGAAATCATATATATGTCATGTCAGTTCCAGTAAGTCATCTGATTGGCCAGAGCACTGTAAGGTCACCTGGAAAACAGTGGAAATGATAACTTTGAATTTCTCTTGCTATTCTTTCTTACCCTTCTTTTTCCTTTATTATCTTAAGTTAGGGCTATTCAGTTATAAGTAGGTACAGGCCACAGGGGCTGCATATCTCTTCATGCACACACAAAACCCAGAAACACCAAATGATCAAAATTAGTACAGCACATGGCAAAAAAAAATATTCCCCCCTTATTTTTCATAATTTATATGATGCACTCTAGTACAACTAAACTGGTTTAGTTGCCTCTGAAACTAGATTAAAGTGAGGAACGTATTGTCTATAAAGAAGAAATAAGTATTTGTACATCTTTCCTTTGTTAAGCCTTCTTTACTGGAAAGGCATCAAGCCAGTTAAGTGTCTAAGTCATAGAAGAAAGGACTTAGCTAATTGATTATAAGGCTATTATTGATCAGTTAATTTCTCTGTTAAATTGCCATTAGTGAAAAGCTTTCATTCTGTTTTGTTCTTCTTGGCTTAATAGTGGGGAAAGGAAAATCATTTCATGAAACTCAGTAATGCTTCTTCAATTCTGAGTATAATCACTCATTTAAAGCTTATTGGACCAACTCATGAGCCATTATGTTGTCAGTTCTTAGCAACATACTTAGCTTTAAAAGTAAACTGCTTAGTATAATTGTCATTTTAAAATGGACAATTTAATGTTCGCCTGAATATGATACTTGGTTAATTTGCAATTACAGTTTATTGTGGCAGTTCAACCTGTGAGAAAGTACCCAGGTGTTTCTTTTCTTAATCCAGTTTTAATTACTTAGAATGTTGCCTTTATTGATCCTGTCCAGATACGAGCATACCAGTTTTCCTCCTGTAATTTATTTTGAGATCTGCTGCTCAGTGGGCAGGAGGATTAATTTTCTAATCCCCTCCTTCAATTTCATAGTCTTTGGTGTTCATCACCACCTTTAAACATACTTCCATTGGTCTTTCTCACTAGTCCCTCACTGGATGCACTTTGCCATAGTTCTGTTTGTAGCCCAATAAAATAGAGGAATACTAGTGTATCTTCTCTTTCAGATGGTACAGAACCAGGCAGAATACTTTTAGTTGGAGGCTCTCTTATGCTTCTTGTGCCTCTTAAGAGTGTGTTTTTCTCTGAAATCCTGCCTGCATTATATCTTTTGAAAGGCCTTTCACCACAACTTTGTTTCTCCAACAAAGGTTCTGAATGACAACCGGGAAGCCTGATATTTAAGGAAACTAGAAACTACCCAGTAATCTAGACTTATGAGGTGGGAGGGCATCTGGGATCTGAACTGATCCCAGAGGCTCAGAAGCAGAAAGCTTCATGGGCACTTACACAAGTTACACTTTTTGTTCAGTGCCCCTGAAGGCACTTTACAGCTGTGCTATGACATGCATGCATGGCTATAGAGTGCTTTTAAAGTGGCTGATTGCACAAAAAATTAACCCTCCTCAAATGATGTATTAGATGAAAACTCTGCTTCAGAGCACCTTAGGGAATTTGTGCTCCCTACGGTTAATTTTCATACACTGTGGGCTGGGTTGATGCAGGCCAGCCTCCCTCCCAGGGCTGTCAGTGGCGGGTAGGGGAAGGCAGAGGGGAGGGAGGCAGCAGCACTGAGCTGCCAGCTGGGGTTTGCTGCCTGGCTGGAGCTGGATGGGAGTTGGGGAGGTGAAACAGAGCCCCCCGCCTCCGCCCGGCTGGGATATTGTGGGGAGCCAGGCTGGGCCTATAAGGTGAACAGGCTCCATTCCAACCCCACCACCCTCAGCTCAGGCCAGGAAAGCCAGGAGCTCAGTGTTACTTGCTTCCCCCTCTCCGCTTTACTTGGCCTGATCTGGAGCGGGCGTGAACAGAGTCTACTCTCTTCATGAGCCCGGCCCAGCTCCTCCCCAATTCCCCAGCTGGGGTAGCTGGGGGGAGACCTGCAAGGCAGAGGGCTCTGTTACACCCCACATCTCCCTTCAGCTAGGCAGCAAACCTCAGCCTCAGCCCTGAAGCTTGTGGGGAATGGGGCTGGAGAGAGTGGCAGTTCAGCAGCCTCCTTGGAGGCTGCTGGAGCACCCCAGCCTGTTGGTCAGGGTGGCTGGTGCATGCAGGCTTGATTTCCCGCCCCCTTCCCGAAAGGCAGATGTCTGTTTCGGGGGAGGGTGCCTTGTCTTCCCCTTGAAGCCAGCCAAGGTATGGCTTCTAAACAAGGCAGAGCCCTGGCACCTTTTCACTTTGATACCTTGGCCTTCTGGTCCCTCATCCTCCCTAGTTGTCTGTGGCCCTTACTTAAGGTGCTATCTTCTAGTTCAGCTCTTGAGAAAGGGACTTTATCTCTTGCTGGGGAGAACAAATGCAACCTGAAGTTCCAAACAGCAAAACAGATGGCTTCTCTTCATTTAAGTTATTTATTAGGACAAAGGCCATCCAACCAGAGGTTCTCTGCCCTTTTCAAAGGGTTGAGAGGTCCCTCTGTCCCCAGCCCAGCCTGCACTGTTCTAAGCACCCCAAACATATTCAGCTGTTCCCTCTCCAGTGTGCCACAGCCAGGAGCCCCAAAGTGCTCTGTTGGTGTCTGTCTGTAGATTTCCTCTCCACTCTCCCTCCAGATGCTCTCCTTGTTTACCCTGCTTTGTCCATTGTCAAGGCTTTGAAGCCTCTGGCATGCATCTTCCAAAGGGGGAATACCAACACCATCTGAAGCCGTAACAAGGCTATTCAAGTCCTGTGTTGCTGAATATCCCTCTTAGACTTAACCCTTCATTCCCTGTGATCAGGCTAAAGAGGTAAGCAGAGGCATTCAATATTCTAACAACATGAATACATTTAAAACAGAAATATTGCAAAAAAGACCATAGCCCGTCACACCCACCTTAAAAGACTTAGTTAACACCCTTGACCTTCCCTGTCTCATTTCTGTTCTCTGAATCTATATCTGCACTCTATAGCCCATATCTAACTTCCTGTATTTAGAGTTGTGCTATAAAGGCAAATGCATTAGATAAACCAGGGTTTTAAGATCATTTTAGGAAAGGTCTCAACCTTTCCAACTGGCTACCATATCTTGTGAATTAGCTTTGCATAGTGCTTCTCTGGACAGGTGTGTGGTCTGATACCCTGGCTGGCAAATATGGGACTTGGGGTTGGAATGCTGATCAAGTCTGTGTTGTTATTTTTATCCACCTGTCCATTTACTGAACCTAATAGAGTAAGAACTAGCATAGTGAGTTCAACTAGATTCTTTTCAAGAGCTGACACCTAAGAATTGCTGCACCTTGGAAAAAAAAGTGTCAGCTGAACAGCAGATTATCAGCTACACTTCAAGATTGAGAGGATGAACCTTCTAGTATGTACAAGCCTCTATTTTGAGCAAATAACAAGCTTTAGTTAAAGCACCCCCACTGCCATTTTTCAGCATGGGGACGCTGATACATGTGACACTGGAGTCTGCTAGAGCACGGTAATTACTATGTGCCTGCAGACTCGATTAATCAAGTCTGTTCCATGCACTGTAATTACAGCATGTTGGAGAAGCCTCCCTGCACATGTATAGGTGCCCATACTTTGCATGAATCTATGGATCTTCACTTGAAAAGAAAGTGGTAGGAATAAAGAGAGGTAAAGGAAGATTTGGATGAAAGAAGAACCTTGAAAAAGGCCCGTTTCTTTTTAGGTTGAAAAACTATTTCTATTGTCTGGAGTTCAGTGTGTGTGTGTGAGAGGCTCAGGTAGTAACTTTCTGGTCCAAAGATTTATTTTCATTAACTGTGTAAAGTATGTTGAAATGAATATCTGCTCTTGGGCCACCTGATACAGTTAGTGGTTCCATAAAGTCCGAAATATGAGACGGCACTAGGAAAGTCAGTGTTTCAGATAGTGTCTGTTTAAGAGAAGAAGCTGAATTGCTGATACTCAAAGATGTTGTTGCTAGTAGTCAACTGAGAGACAAACAACTGAGGATTAGGACATGAAAATAAGGGGAAAGGTATAATGGTTCTAGAGAGAAATAAGAGGTAATGGCAGAGTGGTTGGAGGATTCAGGTGGAGATAATGACTGGAATTCTGGGTTCTCTTCCACTGTTGACTCTAATTGTATAGCAGTGGACAAGTTGCTTAATCTCTTGGCAACTTGGTATGCCTGTCTGTAAAACTGGAAGGATTTCTAATTCTCTGGAACTGTCATTACACTAAAATTAATGTGATTTTTGAATGAAAGACATTAGGAAAAGGCAAAGTATATACTCTCTGTGGAGTGAGAGTAAAGATCTTTATCTGTGATAGCCAGTTTTTTACTGCAATAAATGTTTTGCTTTTTCTAATGCTTAGAAAATAAATTTCAGAAGAAAAACATTTTAATAAAATGTGTATCCCTCATTTGAGGAGCAGATCTTGTAGGAATGCTTCATAGTTAAAACTAGGTACTTTTTTGTCTTGTGTACTTCCAGCTGGAATTGCTGAATGGGGAGTAGAAAATGGAACAGTAGTGGAGAGGGAATTAAAAAAATCCATGCTGCTGGCATCTAATTGTAGTAGAAAAAGTGAGTAATTCCCAAACAAGTCTGCAATGCAGACATGCACTGACATCACAAGTGACTTGTCTGGTTTCAATGACAAAGCCAGCAGCTTGACTCTCCATTTATCAACACATGCCAATGTTATCAGAATATTTTAGATCAGGAAAG